ACCTTGCAGCCTATCACCGATGCGTGCGTGAGAAGAGTAGGGAGACCAAGACGTGAGTGGATCACTGAAACTAGGAACAAGGCTTTTCACTTTTTGGGCGGCCACTGTGAAATCACCAGACTTGTACAAAATCCTGTTGTCTGGCACCGCACGGTTGGTCAGCTCTTGCCCGTCCACGCGCCGCCCGGCGTATGACTGACTGACTGACTGACTGACCTGAAGTCATGGCCTGAGAATATTGCCCTGCCAGCAACTCGAAATGCCGGGCACTCGGTTCAGACAGCGGCGGAGCGCAGGGGTCCTGTTCTAGATGAGTCAGAGTCCTTAGCCAAAAGACTTGCAAGTGAAGAGGACTATAGTAATAAGTCGTGCTTGGAGTTGATTTCAAAGGTCAAGTTCAAGGGTCCAGGTGCCCAGCGATCTGCCGTCACCTCCGGAGCACGCGGTCCTAACGGTCCAGCGTAATACGCAATCTTAGGAGTCTTCTGTCATGGAGGTGTCACAGGCATCACCAGCAAGACTAACGATCATCCTGAGCTGTGCAAGTACCTTTGCAAGTATCTTAAGGCGAAAGGAGTAAAAGAACCTTTTTCGTCAATATGCATCAATCACGGTTCCTCAGTGAAAGTCCATAAAGATTCGCATAACAAGTTTGATTCGGTCAATGCGACAATTGGGCTAGGGGATTATCAAGACGGGGGGCTGTGGATCCACGATGATGATGTAGGTCAAGACGGCATTCGAAAGAAACTGCCAAATGGATTCTACGTCAGTGGAAAAGTTCATGACACGAGGCACAAGCTTGTCAAGTTCAATCCCAAAGTGTATCATTCCGTTGAAAAGTGGGGGGGTGATCGATGGTCGGTCACCGCGTACACCAACAGAGCGTGTCACAAGCTATCGGAAGAGCAGATGAGCAACTTACGTAGGCTGGGCTTTGTTGTTCAGAAACAGAGTTTACCTACCTCTCCTGCTCCAAAGCCGGTAGATCCAGATGATGATCTTACTCTGGCAGAGTTCCATGAGAGTGACAAAACCAAGCCGAAGATTATTCCTCCACGAACCAAACCGGAAGTCAAGACAAAACCTGCGCCTAAGAAAGAAGAAAAGAAAGTCATTCATCCTCCCGAGGAAATTGAAGACGCTGATTATTTAGCGGCTCTCCTCGATGAGGCAACAGATGTTGAAGCTGAGGTTCCGTCGGGCAGTGTTCGGCCTCCAAAAGGACCGGCCATTTCCCCTGATGTCGGCGCCGAAGCTAAGGTGACTGAGGCGTCATCGGAGGTACCACCTCCTCCGCTGCC